TAATGGAAAACAAATGGAGAATTTTCAAAAATCAACAAATCAACAAAGCAAAAAAGCCTAAAACAATTATCATATGCAAAAAACATTCAAAACACCAACAATCACCCGGAGTTTGTTCTATTTGTCTAAGTGAAAAGCTCTCTAAGCTTTCGAAAACATCGCGTATTATAAATACAACTTCTTCTTGTTCTTCTTCATCGTCGTTGTCTTCATTATCATCTTCATCTTCTTCTGATGTATCATCATGTTCTTCCCCCGCGTATCAAAGGATGAAGACTATGGCTACCTTGAGAAATGGTGGTGGTGGTGGTGGTAATATTAATGTGCTTACAAAGAGTAGGTCACTTGTTTTTGTTACATCTAGTGAGGGGAAAGGGAATAATAATAAGGATAAGAAAAGAGGACTTCTTTCTAAATTGCTTCATCCAAGGAAAAACAAGAACTAGTGAAGATGAGACAGAGACGGATTCCAGATTTAAATTTTATTGATTTCAGTTTATGATTAATTGTATCATAATTTATTTCATTTATTGGGTTCGAAAATTGATTATTTATACTTATGTAGTGAATATTTTCAATGCTTATACAAAGTCTACCCATAAGAAAGGGTGACAACTTAAATTGTTGAACATGAGATTCATAAGGTTTTTTTTTTTAGATTGTGATTTTATAACGTAATACATAATATAATTTCGAAATATATTATGTATGAGTTATAATTTTTATTAAGGAAATTGTGATGTGGCTATTTATAATATTCTTAGTTCAAGATATGCTTGAGACAAAGAGATCAACTTGCATATTCTACAAATATTAAAGTTCATAATTATTTACATGTTATATTATAACCGTTCAAAATTAAGTTTGGGATTTTATTAATCCATTGTTTGGTTATTGGGGTACTATAAAAAAAAATTAGATTTATCGATTAAAAAATTTATAGCTATACAATAAAATTCGTTTCTAATTTTACTTAGCAACAAATTCGCGATAGATTTTCATTAGCTACGAATAAAATAGTGACGAACCAATGACTAAATTCATAGCTATATTAGCTAATAACGGTATATATTTAATTTTATACGACAAAAATGTTGCTATTATGTATTATCTTTCACATATAGAAGGTAGGATTAATTTGAAACAAAGGGATATGATTCAAATATTTTTGTGTATAACATTATATATCATTGTATTATGTATGTACATCCCAAATATAAGAGCATACAACGCAATGTACAAATTAAAATTATTATGTGTAGTTTTTTAATTGATGAATCTTGAAAAATACATTCGAGTAAAAAAAGGTCTATCAAAAATAAATTTTTTATATCATAACATAGAGATAAAATCAGCGTATATTTTATTATTCATAAAAATTGGATTGAGTATGATATGACAACTTTTGAGATCTATATAATATATTTATGCCTTTGTTATTACGTACGTTGTAGAAGCATCTTTTTAGTACTTTTGTACGGAATGATGAGACAAATATAATTATAATTCTGAGATCTAAACACCACAACATAGATGTACTGTCTCTAGGTTGTTGTCATGCTGGTGAACAGATCAAGTGTCGATAATGACTCTCCAAGAAACTTCATTTGATAGCCACACGTTTATCAGTTGGATATTCGAATTTAGATTTGTGTCGAAACGTTATATTGTGAAAATATTAGAATGAACGAGTACTTACTATTTCTCTATACCTTTATTGATTCGGTATGAATAATTTATGTTTCTTTTGTTTCAATTTATTTGAAGTTTTTTATTATTGTGATTGAAAAAGATTGGCACATTTCAATATTTTTTTGATGGGAAATATTTTGTAGCTTAAATGTTTTGATTAGTTTAAAATCACAAGTTTCAAAAGTTTTATAATAGCATAATACATATATTAGATCTTAAACTTGACTTTAAATTTTAACTTTGACTTTTCAACTTTCATAATGCACAAACAGACTCTTTAACTATCCAATTTTTAAATAAATAAACACATGAGTCCTACATGGCACAATACACGTAGGACACCATGTAAGAAAAAAAATGACATGTGTGTCTATTTGTTCAACTTTATATAAATTTAAGTGTCTATTTGTGCAAATCCAAAGTTGATGAATATAAATGTGATTTGAAGCCAAGTTAAAGTGCATATTTATGTATTATGCCTTTTATAATAATGTACTTCTTCCCATTTATATTACTTGACCCCTATATTAAGTATAGATGTTTTATCTACCAATTTAAAAAATTAAGAGATGTTTATCATTTTCTTTCAATATTACTTCTATAGTTAAATATCTACATAAAATATCAATAGTCAAATTTAGATTTCTAAAGCATTAATAAGGCTAGTTTAATAAAATAGACCCCTATGTAAATATTTCATTTCATTTTACTTGGCCCTATATCAAAAATATATGGTTCATTTTAGTTGTTTATTTTAGCAAATCAAGGAAGTTGTATTATTTTTTTCTTTTTTGGATGAGCTATCTAATTAATCAAACAATTCTAGCATATTTACTAATTCTCTCTATAATTTGAAATAGTTATATATATCATGTCTTACTAACTAGTGATTTCATACCAAATTTCAAATCATATACACCTTATGCATTTTTTTTTGCTACCAAATACACTAAAATTGAGAAAAAAGCGAAAACAATAGTTTATGTCTCATATATATATTCAAATCATACTAGATACATGTATTTGCGATATTTGATACATTCTGAAATATAGATACATAGGAAAAGAGGTGAGTGAGAGAGGAGAGTGACGAGCGAGATAGGGAAGAGGCAAGTGAGAGAGTCGTATGCATGTAAATCTACTCGGATATAGTCATCTAAAACAAATTACTCCTAATTTTGACTTCACATATCCGAGATACATGTATTTGATATCAAAATTCTGATAAAATTAGTAATATTGATATCTTGCGTGAATCTAAATAATTAGCTCCTAAACACGTATTACTTCGTCTCATATATAAAGTAATTGTAGTCAAATTTAGAGTTCCAAAATATCATTATTAAGGTTGGTTTAGTAATACACTTGTAACTAACAAAAACATTGCCTAGTCATATACTAGGACTTTTAAGTATTTCATGATTTGCTTTTTCTGCAGAGATTAAACTTATTTATATATGAAATGTTCAACATTTTCCATCCATGCTTAGAATAAATTTTCAATTATAATTATGGTAAGTTCTCAGCAATTTCCTATAAGATCTATTAAAGTTGAGTACTTCTGCACGCCTACAAAAAGAAACAAGAAGAAAATCATGATTTCAACCACGCAGAAAATGAAATTGTTTACTAGTACTAATTAATTAACGGTAACTCTATAATTTTCTTTTTATTTAAAAATAAATAAGTATATTTTTATTTTTTAATTAAAAAATAAAAATATGTAAAAGATAAAATGACATAGTGTGAAATATGTTATTCTATAATTCTGATCAAATTTAATTTCTCGCCAAAAGATTTTTTCTTTAATTAAGTACTATTTATTCTACAATGTCTTCTATAATCCAAACCACGTGTTCTGTTTTTCAAAATTAATTAATTATGTAGGAACATTTCTTGTGGAGATTATTTTTTCATAAAAGGTGTGTTGTCATAACAAATAATATAATTGTTTTTAATGTATATATTTATTAGGCGTGAAAACAAAGTCTACTATAAAATTTAAAAATAATTTTTAATGGTGTGACTTTTGAAAATGTATGAATGTGAATAAAAAAGTGAGAGTGTTAAAAATAAATAACTCTCATTTAATAAAATTGTTTATTCTATCATTACGGATAGTAATAAAATTTGTATAATACTCTATTTTCTATTTTACATATCCGTTAGTAGAATTTCATCGACTATGTTATAACAGTAAAGAAACAAAGAAGAAAGGGTACAAGAATTAGACTAATAATTTATTGTTATAAATTCTTTGTGGCACTCTTACTTTACATTTGAAAATAATTTATGAGACAAAAAAACATATTGGGTTATTCTTAATGATGTGAGATTAAAGTACATCCATAGTAAATTAAAAATATTGAAAATAATATTAGGGAAATAGTCCCACGATTTAAAGTTTACTTGTTCCAACAGAAAAGGATCTAAACTTGACCAGCAACCTTGGTAGGCTACCTCCTTTTGCTTTTGTTTCTCTCTAAGTTGTGTTTTCTTTACATTTGGTATTCAACTAATTTTCGTTGTCTCAATTTATACAATAATTTTCATTTTTCGAAAGCTGAATAGTTTAAGTTTGATAGGAAATTTGCGCATAGACGAGGGAGTTCCCATCTTTCATAGTTGGCCTAGTGTTGATCATGTTCACAAATATAACGCAAGTTATTCCTGCCTAAGCTTAACAAACTTATGTAAAATGATCGAGACACTTTTGTTGGTTAACTCGATAACTAAATCATTAACAATTGATAATTAATTACTCGAAATCCGATTTGATAATCAAAGTTGTATCAATTTGATTATCAGTTTTTCATGCTACAAACCTAATCATCATGTTCAGATCGAATCGATCGATAAGCATCTTGGTGGTGTCGTATAAATCCAATTTGTTAAGTTTATTGATGGCATAGGTAAGAATAACTTGTTTTTAACAGTAAGAATAAAGTCAAACAATAAAATAAAATTGAGTGTAATTTTGATCCTTTTTCCCTATATTTTTCACAACCATAATGCTGAATTCCAGCTGAAAAACTTGTCTTTTTTCATCATCTCTATCTACCTAATAAATTCACCGAAAAAATAGAACTTTTTAAAGTTACATTTAACATATACTTCCTCCGTCTCATTTTATGTCATCTCTTTCTATAGATAGCTGGACTACAATAAGTATAGTCCAATATACAAAACACCTCATATTATAAGTATAGTCCAAGGAAGAGCCGAACCCATTACTCATTGACCCACACAAAGACAACTTTACGTTGCTCCAAGGCTCTCCGTCAAGAGGAAGATGAACAGTGTAATGATTAAAAAAACAAAAGGATTTATTGATTATGATTCTCTAAGAGAACATTTGAAGTGATGATTAACAAGTATAAGAGTTTAGTAAAGAAATTTATATTCTAAGTTTAATCACAAGTAAGGACTCTAAACAATTAACTCATTTATCAGGTTACACTAATTCCATCAGAAACGTAAAACTTTATTGATCACAATTTGTTCACATAGAACTCTCCCTTTTCATTTGAGAGTTCAGATGCATTAGAGTTGGAACCAAAATATGCAGTTTACAGTGGTCCTGGAAAGGTGCCATTCTCCCTCTGCTCATTCCATCTATCAATCTGCAGCCACGATTAAGGCAAAGCATGTTATCGTCAAAAGGAAAGACCAAAAGAAGCTGAAAAACATGAGGAGATTGTCATGAGCGTGTAAAGAAACACATTATCTCCTTATGTCTACGCCACCTCTTGTGGAGGGATGTGACTTTTGAGGTCAAATATCATCAAACTTGCCAACAACTCATTTGCCCCTTCAAAATAATGATACACGCTTTCACTTGATGTTTATTTTTAGAATAGGCACATACGCTCCATCCGTTGCTTCCCCTACTCATACAGAGATTCATATCTTCTAACTACTGGTGGCGTTCACTTGTTTAGTCTAAAAAATTATATCAGAGCAGGGATTTTAACCACACGGCTTGCTAAGTCATATCTAACTCAAGCGCAGCCCAAGTATGGGTGATGCAAAAGCTTCTAACTCATTTGCAATGACTTTGCCATGCAGTTGGAGCACCACTATGCTAAAATCCTCAACCCTTAAGCAAATTACAATCAAAATACTAATACCAATACAAAGCTCTAGAAGTGATACCAAGACTTCTCTTAGACCAACTAAACTCACCATTATAGACCACCTTTAAACAATACTCGACTGCACAGAAGTCAATACCCAATTGGTCTCTTTAACTCTCCAAATTTCACCTTTGTACTTCCACCATCTGAAAAGCGTTTCAAATCCTTTTGATCAATGTTTTTGTATAAAGGGTTTGGTGTCGCATTTTGGGATTGAACTATTATCAAGAAACAGCATCGAGAATCTTTATTGCTTACTCGCAAAATGCTAATAAAGCAACTTTTGGATTCAGAATACTTTCAAGAGTAAATTATCAAAAACACACCAAACTATTCTTTTTTTCACGAGTTTCATACCTCAAACTATCCACGGTTCCATTAAACTACCTAAACTATCACTCCCTTTGTATTAGAACAAACCTAGATACTAAGTTGGCCTACACGCACCTGTTATCGATTGGAAATAAATATTTGGTCAATTCAATATTGAGGTATGTTTAGTTTGGATAGGTAAAGGGAACAATTAATAGTTGAGGTATGAAACTCTCGAACAAGTGATAGCTTAGGAGGGGGGGCGTTGACCATTAACTCTACTTTTAAACCAATCAACAAATTAACATTTCAAAATTTAGTGATTTTTATCTCAATTTTAATCAAATTTAAAATCAAGACCATTACTCCACTTCCGAGCCTCAAAGCTTCCGTCCAATCAAATCCAATAGAGAATTAACATTATAAGTGAATTGGTGACTTCTACTTGTCCCATATTTTCCCAACATTAGTTGAACATCGGAATTACGGCACACGTACAACCAAAAGCATATACATACATACACACACATTATGTAATATACTACATATTAATATGTACATGGTCATACACATACATACATCATCCAATCTTGCAAATGCAAAATACAAAACAAAACATACCCATTCACCGGGGCAAAGGGATCGATAATACTTGGCGAACTTGTCACATTCAGGAGCACCTTCACCCTTTGCAGCTATGCATCTGAAATATAAACAAACCAAATATAGTTGGTATTTCATGGATAGATTACAAAATTAGATACAAAGGCAGTACAGTTATGTCTACTGACCGGTGGTATTCAACATATCTAGTGAAGCAGTGCCTTGTTTGATTTGTAGTAGGGAAGCGGAAGTCAGCAGGCGCAGTCTCAAGCTAGTTCGACAATCGTGACAAAAACCACACACAATCAATGGATAAGATATAAACCATAACCAAAAATCAAAACTGATTGCCCAGTCAATCTAACCTTAATCTCAGGGGTCTCATCAGCGGATTCATGATTTTCACTCTCAGCCTCTACAGGAGGAGAAGCTTCATTAATTTCCGGTGTCGTTGAGTCAGAGGCTCCACTGCTTTCTTCAGATGTGGCAGGCACAGCTTCACTACTCTCAACTACTGGGGTTTCCTCAGTTTTTGGAGTATCTTCCTCAGATGGAGCAGTTGAAGAGGCCTTAACCTCAGTTTCTTCCACTGGATTAGCCACTGTGGTGGATTTCTCTTCTTTCTCTTTCAGTAAATATTGCTGAGTTACAACAAAAAATTGTCATTTTCGATAAAAAATGAAAGAAAATCTCACTGGAACAAACTAAAAATAAATCAACTCTGGCGTCAATCCAATTTAGTGAGATCCAATATATGAATACTCTACAATCTACCTTTCCATTAAAAAATCAACTCAGAGATGAATCATCGACTATCAAACGCAAAAAAATACCAAATTGAACGACCAAAATTCAATATAAGATAATGAATAAGGAAGTACCTCAGATAAAGATGGAGATTTTGAGTTGTCTACTTCGGCCATTAACGAAGGAAAATAGCTGATGGCCTTAAGCTTATTCGTAGAAAGTTAGGAGTAAAAGTGAGTGTGTAGAAGCTACGGAGGCAACAAACCGGCAGGCTATATCAGTGGTTAAACACGTTGGAGATATCCAAACTGTGGCCTATGGGCTTTACTGGTTCCGTCGATAATGGGCTTTTTAGTTTTTTCTTTTAAGTGGGCTTATTGATGAAAATATGAGCAACTTTCAGCATACACAAAAATCATATTCACATGTTATAACTATAGTTTGTATAGTTACACTTTATAACAAACTTTGCCTATTTTGCTAATACATATATACAAAAGAAGCAATTTGTTTCGGTTTGCATATCAAAAGAATCAATTGTATAATCTTTGTTTGCATAAAGTGAGAAAGACAAAAAAAAATGGACAGGGAAAGATCGTATTATGTATAAGACGAAAAATATATATATTTGTATTTGTATATACAATTTTCTCTCACTTTATATAAACACAAACCCCATGTATATATACATTTGTGTTTGTATGAAGCGAGATCTGAGAGAGTAATTATTTTTCTCTGCTAGGAGTTCAAATTATACACACTACGTTAACTAATAGACCATACCTATGTACCATATAACCAAAATTAAGGAAAAAGAACAAAAGAAAGGAACAAATATAACAAGAAAGGTTGATTGAAACCCGGTTGCTGAGTATCACTTGGATGTACCATTTTATATATCCAGTTCACAAATACAACTGAAATGCTTTCATAGAAACTAAGCACCAGCAAGAACCACATTAAGGTACAGATGAAACAATTGAACATCAATATTCAAAGTTGTTCGTTGCCACGGATAAAAAGGGAAACCCGAAAGACAGGAGAAAGGAAATAAAAAAGAAGCAGCTTCTCCCAATAAAAACAGCCAGGAAGAAAGAAGCCAAATGATAATCTGAGGACCAGTTCCCTCACTGTTGTTCATTGTCGTTTTTGGTTTCCTTAATTTCATCGGCACCATCATCCTGCAATCGAGACATGTTAGTCAAACACGTGAGTTCGAGTAATACAACTGATAGGATTACAAGGAAACAACATAAATCAAAAAGCTATTTAGAACAACAACTGAGTTATTTACCTGCATATCAGAGGTCCAGAGAGTGAGATTGTCACGAAGAAGTTGCATGATCAAAGTGCTATCCTTGTAAGATTCTTCTCCCAGTGTGTCCAACTCGGCAATTGCTTCATCAAATGCCTGGCCACGCAAAAGATAACAAATGAAAATGAAGGTACTTTTTCACAGTCGAGATGAAAAAAAAAGAGGTATGGAATTATCTATGCCTAATGAAACGTGACACGCCCTTGTTTGAACTGAAAAACATAATTTGTAACTAAGAAATGACTGCCATATGAAGAAATTCTTACTTGTTTAGCAAGATTGCAAGCACGGTCAGGAGAGTTCAAAATCTCATAATAAAACACTGAGAAGTTGAGAGCCAGTCCAAGTCGGATTGGATGTGTTGGGGCAAGTTCAGTATTTGCAATATCCTGCAGGCATTGAGACCAAAATAAGGACACAGAAAGATCAACAACATTTAACATCCTGGCTATTTTTTCGCAAAAGAATAACAGTAACTTGTCAAGTAAGATAGAGTGAAACAACCAAGTCGCGTGAACTTAAAGGAGAAAAACAAGAGGTATAAAGCTTAAATTTATATATAATACTACTACTTAAAACAAGTACTTGTCATAATTCATAGTACTACTAATTATCTGAGGATCGCCTCTGACCTTTTGAAATTCCATCAACGATTATTTCATTTGGCCTTCGTTTAGAGGTAAAAAAGTGTTCTTTATCCAATTCAACAGGGGATATTATCTCTCTGATCCAAAAGCTTGAGGGAATCGAATTAACATACTCTTAATTCAAACCTAAATTCTAAACTCAATTAACATCAGATCTCTGGGAACATGGAAACAATAATATGGTCTGATCTAGAAGGACATATATTCAATACTACTGCTTAAAATGTTTACGACTACTTAATCGAGGATCATTTGTGACCTTTTGATAATTCAGTATCCAATTTTAAATGTTCAGAGAATTAAGCCAATTTACTCTTAATTCAAGACATATCAACATCAAATTTCTGATAAATATATGACAAACATATATTCCCTTCGTCTCAAATTATAAGGACACGCCCCTAAAGATACGTATCATTTGTTAGACATATTCAGCTTATGTATCAAAAAAATATAGTAAACAACCTCTCTACGTCCAAATTAAGACGGAAGACCATCATGAATGGAAAATTTGAAAAAATCAATTGTGAGTTGTGTCTGCTCAAAACAGGAAGTTGTTTCCATAGTCTTCTCTACCTACAATCTCACCTAATTTACAAGTACAATTTATTCAAAAATTTAGATAAAAATCATATTCTGCAGATATTATTAACAGATCCATGAATCTTCATCATTTAATCTAATAGATCAAACACATAAAAATTAATATGATATACCTGAGCAGCTTTGTAGGCGGAGAGTGTGCTCTCAGCAGCTTCCTTACGTTCAGCTCCGGTCTTAAATTCAGCCAAATAACGATGATAATCACCCTTCATTTTAAGGTAAAACACCTTAGAATCGCCATTAGAAGCTGAAGGAATGAGATTAGAATCAAGGAGCTTGAGAATTCCATCACAAATATCCGAAAGTTCAGATTCAATCTTAGATCTATACTCCTTTATACATTTAACATGTTCCTCATTTCCCCTCGACTCCTCCTTCTGTTCAATTGAAGAGATAATACGCCACGAGGCTCTACGAGCCCCGATAACGTTTTTGTAAGCAACGGAAAGAAGATTCCGTTCCTCAACAGTAAGTTCCTCTGAGCCTAATGAAGTTGAAACTTTCTCCATGAACTGCACCATTTCTTCGTATCTTTCAGCTTGCTCAGCAAGCTTCGCCATGTACACATTCTCCTCACGAGCCATAATGGATTCAATATTTTGGGATCTCTTTTCTTTTTTATGAAAATGCAATTTTTTTTTTTTTTGAGATCTGAGAAAAGTTTGTGTGTGTTTGAGAGGATTTAAAACTATGTGAGAACAACTAGGGAATTTGTTGTATGGAATTTTTTATTGGTGTTGAAATTTAGGGGATGAGAGAGATTTTAGGATTTAAAAAAATAAGGGAATAAGGTCAAATATGTTCCTAAATTATCTGAAAAGGTCAGAATATATCCTTCGTTTAAAGTTTGGTTTACTGATGTCTCGTTATTCAACTTTTGATCCAAATATGCCTTTATGGGCGTTAGTTGTCATATTGGACATATCCAATTCATTTTTTATTTCTTTAAATGTCACATGGAATTCATTTTGATCTTACCACATAATATTTATATGAAAATGGAAAGATATTCGGACTGATAAACACCTAATTCGACCCATAAATCAACTCCTTTTAAATAAATTATCCGATCAATTTTTAATAATTTTGTTTAATTTTTATTTTTTCGATAAATTTCGAAATGAGAAAACATGAAAAAAAGTATAAAATTAACGCCAAAAATTCACAAATAATTATGTGGTAAGGTCAAAATGACATGACAATTCCACGTGACATTTAAAAAAAATAAAAAATAAGTTGAATATGTCCAACATAGCAACTAACCCGCATAAAGACATATTTGGATAAAAAATTGGACAATAATGTCACGAGTGAACCAAATTTTAAACAAAAAGTATATCTGACATTTTCAAATAGTTAGAGACATATTTAACCCTAAACCCAAAACATAAAATAAAATTGGGAAGATTAATATGAGCTGTCGGATTATGGAATTTTTGGCAACAAGGTAATTGTCAGTTGGATTTTGGAAGATGTGAGTGTACGGATATGGGCAAAAGAGATAATTGGGTCGAAATCGATTACGTGGGTTATCACGTCCGGCCAGTCTTTTGACCAATCTAGGTGTGTTTTCAGGACGAAAAACATTAATATAATAATAATATTGATTAATATTTTATAATTTATGCTTTACATTATATTTATATTAAGAAAATGATATTTATAGTACTTTTAGTGTAATTTTTAAATATTAAAATTTTTTATTTATATAATTTAATTTAACTTTAAAAATTAATTAAATTGACTATCGAAAAACGTAACATAACAATTAAAAATGAACAGATAGAGCAATATACTTTTATTACATGTATTTTTAAAATACTATGAATCTCTTCGTAAATTAAATTTTTTAAATATATATGTTATTTTATTTTATTTTTGCTATCAAATATACTAAATTGAGAGAGAGGTATGTTAGATAGTAACAAAAGTTAGTGAGATTTGTTATATATGTAATTGATATGATTCACATGTATATATAATTTATTTTTCTATAAATTTACATATATATTCTCAAAAAAATCCTCAGATGATTCATTCAATAATTACTAAATATTGAGTGACCAACAAAAATTTATTATAACTAAAATACATATGAATCTACTTGTTTAATTGCTATGTGATTTTTTGGTTTAGGAAAAGTTACATTCTTTTTGTTTGTAAGGTGGCCTTTGTGATGTAGACCAGTTGGTATTTATTTGGGTTATAGGAGAATGAAAATAGAAATTGGATGCTAGACAAGAGCTACGAATGATCGTTAAAAGACATAAATATAATTTGAAATTAAATTAAAAATATATATTTATATATTATATCTTACTTTTATTATGGTGTAATTTTTATACATGTATCACTTTGCGTGTAAGAATTAGACCACTTGTCATGAAGTCATCACTTTTTATAACTGTAAGTACTACTCATCTATTCTGAATGAACAAACATTTTGCCTAATTTTATAAATCTCACGTTTTCATCAATTCTCTTTCTTATGGTTACTTTAATTAATTATTTTGGTTTTATTATTTTATATCCTTTAATAACTTGTTGATGTTAATTAATTTGGTAATTTATATATTTTCTATTTAAGATAGCAAAGTGCTTGTATAATCCTAAGGAAATATTTTACACCGTTGAAATAAATTTTTAGGACACTACTCAGCACGACTCAAATATTTATCAATTTTATGCACTAATATTTATAGATTATTGTAGTAATATTTATCTATTTTCAGGACTACTATTTTGTTAAAGTATAAAGTTATTTTATTATTATTATTATTATTATGAAATTTCAATTATTTTCCCAATAATCTAAGAAATTATGGCAAATATAATATGTGTCCTAAAACTATTGGTGATATTGATGTTGGTGCTATACTGATTGATAATGTACAAGTCATTTTGCCGGAGGCTACGATAAAGAAAATTACAAGTATGTAAATAGTCATGTTTACAAGTCGATAGCTAATAATAAAACCTTGATGAGAAATGCACCTCAATGCAAAAGAATATTGAAAAGAAATGAAAATCTCTTTAAGCTAAAAATAAATTTGACTGAAAAGGATGATATGATTATTGCGGTCATTTCAGAAATGAATGTTATGACCAATGTGAGAAATGAGTGATAGACTCTGATTTTACTAGGCATATTTTGTATAAACAAATATGATTTTCTGTCATATACCCAAGCTGAAAAGGGGGGAGAAATTGTTTATTTTGGTGACTCAAGAACAATTAAAATTCTTGAAAAAGAAAAAGTTCTTCTCAAGCTCACATCCCATTGTGTAGATATATTCATAATCCCAATAATTAACATTTGTTTGCATTGAATAGACTGATGAAATATTTGAGAGGAACCATGAGTTATGGTATTATGTATAGTGGATATCCTTCTTCTTTAGAAGGGTGTTGTGATGCCGCCTGAATTTTTTATTCAGACGAGACAAAATCCAAATGGACATGTGTTCACTTTAGATGTTCGTGCAGTATCCTTAAATTAGCTAAACAGATGATCATTGCTAGATAGATTATGAAGTCAGAGTTTGTAGTTTTGGAGCTGGCTAGTCTGAGGATGAATTGTTAAGAAAATTCTTGGAAAATATCCTTTTAATAAAGGATGAATTGTCAGTTAATCCCTTTGATGAAGGATGACTATTAATCTCTTTGATTAAGGATGAATTATTGATCCCTTAGATGTATAATGAATTGTTGATCCCTTCAACAAAAAAATGAATTGTCAATCTCTTTAATAAATGATGAATTACCAAATGATCCCTTTAATAAGGATGAATTGTCTCATGTGTTTATACATTGACTTGTAAAGCCGCAATTGATATTGCGAAAAATAGATCTTACAGTTCTAAATTGAGGCATAATGTCGTTAAGCAGCTGTTGAAAGATGAATAGTTGCAATTGATTATGTGAAATCAGAATTGAATTTGATCGATTAACTGACTAAACCTAGGGTAGAAAATTAATTCTCTAGACCTTAATAGAAATAGGTTTAAGGCCAATTGATAGTCAATATGGTAACCCAACCTGTGTGATTGAAGATCTCATGAAATAACTTCATATGTGTAATAACAAATCGATATTAACTCTGTACACTAACTAAAAGTGTTTGAACTGCTATTAAAAATGAGGGATGAATTATTAACTCACATGGCAAAAGAGTTGTGTTGGGGTGAATTGGATCATTATATATCTTTGCGAATAAAAAGAATAGACACACATTTTTAATGTGGAACACGCTCCGGCTCAGAGATTAAAAAAAATATTTAAAAATCACAATGGAAAGGATTTAACCTAAACTTCACTAAAACAAATTAGAGTCAAATTCAAATTACAATTTTGTAGTCTAAGAGATTGACAAGGACAATAAATAGAAAATTCATGAAGTAGCAAGTTATTTAAAATCTTTTTAATAATCAATAAGTAGCGTTGACTTCAATAGATTTACGATAGCAATTCTCACCAGCAATCTTTTAGTGTCCCACCCACTCAAGGTAGTCCCCCACCCCCACCATATCAATATGCTGGTCCTATTTCAAAATTGGAACCACCACTACTATAGAAAGTAAATTTTAGACATTATCAACCATAAAAATGAAACCTTTGATAAAGAAACATATGACAATAATTTGATTTGGTGCTCAACATGTCTGTATGGACCAATTCTTTTCGTTTGAATGGAGATTCAAAATTGTTATTAATATTGTGCCAGAAAAAGGATATGCCTGAACTGTTCTGCAATATTTAAAAAAAAAAGTGGAGCATATATAGAATTTAATTTGTTGCTTGAACTAAAGAAATATTGAAATTCTACGCCAAAAATGATTGGTAACTAACTAATAATGAAAATACTTATTATAGTTTTAAGGACAATTTATCCTCTTAGCAAATGTCCCTAAAGCCTATAGCGATCGTAGTCATCAAAAATTTATTAAAGTTTACAGGTTGTGTTCAATTCCAATTAGGGTTCTTTGATGCTATTCAGCCATAAAGCATAGTTCATGCCTATATAATGGATCTTATGTTTCCTTGAAAAGACATCTCAAAATATCACATGAACTCTAGTACCTAATATTATAGCTTTGCCTTCGATGATATGTGTGTATATATATAGTCCGGAGTCAAAAAGATAAAAAAAATTGTCGAAAATTCTAAAAGGGAATATCAATTTTTTTTAACCAAAAGGATAAAATCTCTCCTGTTAAAATTGATATCGTAACTTTTTTTTAATAACGCTGCATGTGCAGCGTCTTTAAAAAAAATAAAAAAAATAAATTGAAATCGCTGCAATATTTCTTTTTCCTATCTTTGCAGCAAGCAAGCAATGGAGGCTAGCAGCTTTGTTTGCCTCTTTGTAAAAAACTTTTTTGACAAAATCGCTGCCATATGACAACGATTTTAAGAATATTTTTTTTGGAACAACGATTTTGGTGTTTTTTTAAAAACAAATTAACACGTCAATTTTGTCAGAAGAAAATCACTCCGTCGAAAATAATTTTGCCCTTTTGATTAAAAAAAATTTGATGTACCCTTTTAGAATTTTTGACAATTTATATATATATATATATATATATATATATATATATATATATATATATATATATATATATATATATATA